TCTGTGAGGTTGGCATTTTCACTGCAGAGGAAGCCACTGCATCTGCTTTGGTATCAAGATAAAATTTATTTGTCCATATAAACTATAAGTGCTTTGGGTCAGTTGTCTTTGTAGAGAGGCACCTACTGGGATTTTTGAAAGTTCTTTAGCAATCAGTAAAGATACTGTGTAGTTATTATATTCTTCTGTCACTGGTTAAAGCATGTGACATTATTCTCAAAGAAATTTTGTATGCAGAAGTCTGTGACTGAGAGAAAAATCACACAGTTTAGGGTATTCTTATATTCTTAAGACACAGTAATATTAATTATAGCAACAACATGAATAGTTCCATTAAGAACTTGAAAGCAATTTAGACTGATGGCTGTACTTTGTCCACATTTCAAAATGTTCTCTGATGTCTCCACCATGCCTGACAATATGGTCAGTATTTCAGGTTTTCATATCCTTCCCGGACTCCTGCTGATGTCTGTGCACTGTGTGTTCCAAATCTGTGAGTGCCCAGACTTCTTCTCTAAAGTGTTTTTATGGTCCCTACCAGATCTATGTGGAACTGAGCATCTTGTAGTCTTTTAATGTGCTATTTGTGACAGTGTCTTTGGGGTCATTGGGGAGCTATTATCCCATTTTTGCAGATGGAACACATTAGGTTCCTTAAAAAACACTGTGGTGACAGTTTCTTTCCTTTAAAACATAGTTGCAGCACATGGACACATTACTCCATCAGTTCATCCCATTAATCCTATATTCTCTGGTTTATGACTTTATGTGTGTTTTGATGTAGGCAATGTCTTCATCTGTGTCTTAGACAGTGCTTGATGGCTAACAATAGTCATTATTTCCTAGTTAAAAGCACTAGTGAACTGAAATTTCTTGTAAGAATGCCTCTCCTTATGAGAGATCTCGAGACCCATTTTGTACACCCATGAGTTTCAGTTCAGGCTGTCAGTTTGGGTGTTGAACTGAACCAGCCTGAATCTTTGGAGGTTCATCTATCACTGAATAATGCAGCCAGACAGAGGGAGACAGTTGAATAGAAGTCAATATGCCAACTGTTCCTTCATTTATTACTGCCATATTAAGAAAGTTGATAGAGTGGAACTAATCCATCTGCTCACAATTTATTCCCTAGCAATAAGATACAGTTTCACTATTTCATGAGCTCACTCTTTGACTAACTTTATTAGAATTCCTTCTATAGTATTATTTTTAATCACTTTTCATCCAGTTTTAGTTATGGGTAAAATAGTAGAAAAAGTTGGACTAAAGAGACATGAAAGGATTTCATGAGAAACTCAGGTCAGCTTAAATAGGAACAGATCAAATAAAGTTAAGTCAGTAAGCCTATAAAGGCCAACAGGAAAGCGTTCTAAATTACCTCTTTCACATGAATTTTTGTTCTGTCATGTCGAAAATGCAAACAGTCAAAAGAAATAAGGCAGCCCTGGCAGGACCATGAGAGGAGGCAGGGCTGTGGTGCCTGAGGGGAGGTGGGGTGACCTGCCGGGCTGATGGGCAACGCTGGCTGAGGCACTGCAGGGGCAAAACTAACAGGTGGAGAGGTCTCCTCCCTTCTTTATCAAGAATACTCAGTGAGGTTTATCTCATCCATTACTTCCCAGACATGCATGGGCTCTGGATGTTAAAAAAAGGCAGGATTTTGGCTACATGTTTGTTGCGTGCAATGCTAAAATGAATCCCTGTCAATTTAGTTACATTTCTCGTTTGGTTTAAAACATTCTGATGCACTGATCCTTTATTAGACTGGTAGGGGTACTCTTCAGTGGTTTGGGCTGGGTGCAGTTTCAGAAATGTAGAAATTGCCTGATTTTCAAAATGTCGAGCTCACCACTCCTTTTGATTGCGTAGGGGTTTCATACAAATGCACCAAGAACTATAACTGACCAAACTGTAGACTTTGCTCAGTCTACTGTACAGCCTACATAGTCATCCTGTGTGGGAGTTTCCAAAGCATTCAATTCATTAACATAAATCTACTTCCACCAAAAGTTATAGATTTAGCAACAGCTTTGAATGGACAGAGTTGGATTATTCCAGAAAAATGCTGAAAATCCTACCTTCCTATTTAAAATACCTTCTTGAGATGACAGGTAGCAGCAGCTATAGATGCTAAAAGTAATTTTATTTTTGTTGTGATGCTCTGTCACTGCTGGAGCACTGACTGTTCAGACTAACACAGACAGACCTTTTGTCCTTTAATTGATAAGACTTTTCCCAGGGAAGTTGCAGGATGCTTACCTTTTCTCCTTTTAACTGCTTCCAGTTTGGTGTTAGTCTGTAGCCGATTGCTGCAATTTCAGACTAATCACTCTTTGATTATGATGGAGATGGTAAAAAGGTACAACGGTAATTAGAAATCCATTAATAGTTAATTTAGATTTCTTAATCTAAACCATGATTGCATCTACAGTGGTATTAGCTATATGACATTGATGCCATATTAGCTGCATGAATGTGGGTCACCTTTATAATGCTTTGTTTACCTCTCTCTCTGTCTCCCCCACATGATTTTAAACCCGATTCTGGGTTTGGGTTTTTTTTAATATTTATGTGCACCTGAGTGAAACTATGTCTGCATTATGTTTATGTATATTCATAAGTATATAATTGAGAGGAAATATAGTGTGTGGTTATTGAAAGGTGATCTAAACAAACAAAATTCTTATCAAATCAGGCACACAGACTATAAATAAATGAAATAACATGAATTAATAGCTCCAAATATTTTTGGAGCTAGTAATTTGGGAAAACTGTAAAGTAGCAGGCTCAGAAATCTGTATGATCTCTCAAAGGCTAAAACTTTATGAAGAATCAGGTTCACTGTACTGTAAGCTGAAAAAGAAACAATTGTCATTTTACACATCAGAAATATTCACTCTCTAAGTATCAAGAGATGATGACTAAAAGCTACCCAGATATAGAGAAGAAAGCTTTATTCTTCTTTTATTTTCTAGCGACCAGAAGATCTTCCATAAAGATAAAAAAAAGTTTACTAGTGAAATGCCAAATCAATTGCCAAATCAATCTTATAAAGTGTCATTCTAAATGTGCACTAAAGTACGTAATGCAGAGGAATTTTTCCTTTGATTCTAGTCCAGACATTGCAAGGGCCTTTTTATGTCTCCCATCTAAATATGAAGGTTTACAGGGAGAACAGACAAAGAGCAGAACTATCATTTATGTTTACATGTCTTGCTCTTGTCTTTGCCATGAGTGATCTTTTGTAAACATACTTAAGATCACAAGATGTTTCATCTTAGGGCAAGGCAAGAAGAATTTCATGTCACTGCAGCACCTGCAAAAAACCAATAAAAAATCTGAACGCAGTTTGAAAAGCCCTTAATGTGCCATACATTGATGGAGCTGCGGTAAAATCTGTAGCTGCACATTATATTAAATATGTCAGTGATGGTAAAGGATTGGTCTCCTACAAAGGTTAAGATGAAACAAATAAGCTTTGTTCAGGGATTCACGACCTCTCATGACCTGATAGTTTAGATGTGAATTACATATTAAACAAAAACAGTGTCCTTTAAAATTCATGGTTCACATACTTTGAAAACACAACAAAGTTAAAAGTGACATAGTTCCCTGAATATTGATTGTAATTAGTAGCTAACTAGCCACATGAAACTGCTGTTAATGGTAAAGAAATGTGATTTAAAAAAATTTTGTTTGTTTAAACACATACCCTTGGCAGAGACATAAACAAGAAAATCCCTGTTATTTTATGGCACTATGTTGAGAGCAATGGCAGTACATTCAGGAATTTTGGACTTTCTTGTGAAGTCCTGTGCAAATTGTTTTACTGCAAGGTAGGAACTTTCTGATGTTAATGTTATTTGAAGTAATACTGCCAAATAGCTGTACAGTGTGTCCAGACCCAGAGGCTCCAAGACAGCATCACATTTAACACTAGAAGATACTATGCCATTCATTTTGTCATAACAGCTGCTGCTAGTTACAGAGATTAAGCAGAGAGTAGGACAACCCACAAATACCCAATATTTCTCTGCCTTTGTATGCACAAAAATTACCTTAACCCCTTGAAGTCAGTGAGAAGACTTTTGTTTCTACCCACATGGAATTTAATGACATCTGAATAATTTTGAGACAACTATTTCGCATTGGTTTTTTTCATTGCGTAATCAAGAACTACTGTTATTTATTAAATTCCAGGATGTGTTCATATTGCCATCTGTGTCAGTGGCACATATTCTACTAACTGTCAGGATTCACCTACATCCTACTAGGACTTGGTTGTAATTTTCTCATTGGTGCAATTTAGGCATAATATCCCAGATGTAGCATAATTTAATGGCAACAGTGAATGATATTATATGACAATTGTGACATTAATTTTAATATCATTTCAGAAAATAGAAATTGGCATGCTTCAGTGAAGAAAATACTAATGAAATATTTTTTTTATTTTTGGAGAAATTGCATTTCAGTATTCTTTATGTTTCAAGAATAGTCCTTCCTGAAATGGACGTACTCCCGTAAAAGTGCCTTTCCATTTGTGTAGTTTGTAAATAACTAGTAGTACTAAGCATAAGCAATTCTTTAAAAAAGCAAATTTTTAATTACTGAATATTGTCATTGCATTTAGCCAGAAAGGTGCTCTCCATTTTTCATGCAGTTTGTACTATATATACTTATATACTAAAAGCAGAGACAACACAATATTATGTGACTGTTATATATGTTTGCCTTAATAAATTTTCTTATGTCTTTAGCAAATATAGTATCTTGTGTGTTTACTGTGGATTAGGATAATTTATTATAAAACCCTGGTCTGAATGGAAAAAGAATTCTAAATTTCGTGTTAAGCTATATATTGAAGACCAAAGGATGAATGAAGTGCAGAACCAACCCCAAATATGTTTTTTTTCCTCTTTAAATGTCCTTGAAGAGGATTTCAAAGTCATGTGGATGGGCACACTGCAGTCATTTTCACATATTTTATTTTAATTCAGGACTGTGGTTCCAAAATTCACCCAGAGGAGTCCTGTGGCTTGCAGCCTCTGTCTCACGAATACCTCTCGGCAATTTCACAGACGGTGTTTAAGACCTGTGAAGCTGGAGACGCAAAAGGTTTGTTCTTTTTCCCTTTTCTTCTGAAAATTAAACTCACGCACCTCATCAAAGAAAAACTAGAAACAGCATTTACTTTCTGTTATAGACATGCACTAACCTATAAATCAAACTAATCGCTTGTAACAGTTACTGATTTTTAAAATCAGGTAATTAGCTTATGTGAGAATGTTTTGTTTAGTAAGTTTCTAACCAATGATCCACCGTTGCTTGTGTTATTGCCATGCAGCCTTTAAAATGCATTGAAATATTTCTATTGAAACCAATTCAAATAAAAATCACAGAATCACAGAACATTCTGAGTTGGAAAGGATCCACAAGGATCACTGAGTCCAGCTCTTAAGTGAACGGCCCATACAGGTATCTTGGCATACCTTGGCATTATTAGAACCCTGCTCTAACCAACTGAGACAATCTCAGATGTTTTCTTCTAACTTGAAGGGATTTTCTTCTCAAAAATTAACTTTAGAAAAAGAACACAACATTTTGATCCATTTGAATTTTATACTTCCATTTATATATCGGAGACACAAAACCAGTTTTTAGTTTTACATATATTGATACCTTAAAAAACAAGATGGACAAGTCAAAAATTCTACAATAAGCAATACAATCAAGGCATGTCTTTGGTTTAGTGTGAACTCAGAGTGCAACAGACTGTCAGGGATGTACTCATTTTAAGGTCACAGTTGCATGAAGATTTATTCAGGTGTACTTTAACTACTCAGGTGTGTGGTCTTATTCATAGCTTAAGTTGTTGTTGTATTAGACAGTAATTAACTTTGTTCAATCCTTTATTAGAGAAATGAAAAATAGCCCAATACTCCTTCATGGTCTACTGTATTCTTTATCTTGCCGTAGACAGAAGCAGCTTCCCACAGCAGTAAATTTGCACAAACTCATGGAATCATCAATAAAAAGTTACAAGAATGTGGGAACTGCCTGAATGCATCATTTCATATGAAAAAGAGGCATATATTAAATTTATGTTATACAGAGGGAAGGCACAAAAGAGACACTGTTGTACCTAGCAGTGTATTTTAATTACACAAGTTATGAATCATCCTATGCCACTATATCAGGACATAATATTTGTGACTAGAAAGCCCAGATCAAATCCACTGAATCCTTCTGGGGCGCACAGTCTTTCTTCTGATGTATAGCATATTCCTTTTGAATACTGTATCTAGCTAAATGAGGCTGAATATAAAATATCTTTTATAGCCTTATTGTGAATACTATACACAAATAAATTTCAAGCAAACTTCAGGAGATGCAGTCTCAAAGGAAAAGTATATTAAACAGGGAAAGATAATATGTGCTTATAAAGTGAAGACTGTCAGGTGTCTAATGAGCACAGAACTGGGGTTTGCAGTATCTGGCAACAAGTGGCCATGTAGTTTTACTCTGCGTCACAATTTCAACCTGCAACTAGAAAGCATGTCTTTATATGGAAAATCATCCCAAATTTGTAATAACCAAATGGTATACCAATCCTGGCAGTGAACATTTTCCTAACACATATGGAAGCAATGGCAAATTCCCTGCTAAAGCAAAAACAATTCTTTCACTTAAATAAGTTAAAGTTTCAGAAGAGCCAAGCAATGTCATTTCCCCTCAGAAGACAACTCAAAACTTCTGCAGAATCTTCAGCAAAAACTTCAGCAAAATCTATCTATGCTGATAAATGCTTGTGTTTGCGCATACATGGACAAAGTCTGAGGTGGAGCAGCAGAGACAGAGATGAAACCTTCCCTCCTGTGACAATAATGGTAAAAATTAGAAGTCTGCTTTGCAATTCCATACAACTTGGATTTCATGCCTGATTTCTAATCCTTTGATGTAGAGCAGGGACAGTAGTTCAGGGTCTAACCAAAGGCAGAAGTTGCTTCCTCCTCTCCTAGTTACCATGGCACTATTCTTTGGAGGAAGCTCAGCACCTTACAAAATATACATTTAATTTACACCATTTCTTTCTCTTTCTTACTCTCTCTCTAATCACTAAATGCAAATTGGAATATTCAACAGTGGAAATTTCTTTCCTTCTTGTTTACATCATAGAATGAAATTACAACTTCTAAAGCACAAAAACCCACTTTTTTCTTTCAGAAAATCTCCCTTGATTCACATGGGGTCTGAACCAGGCTATCATAGGAAAATTAGCTCTTTCTTCAGTATTGCTGTATTATCAATAACACAGATGTCAGCAACCATTAACAGTGTATTTGGCTCCTCAGAGAGAGAGTGAGCTGAAACCATGAGAAACCCCCAAATTCCTGCTACTACTGTCTGTGGAAATGTGGTTTGCAGACAATTACAAAAATCTTGTCGGTAAGAGATCACAGATTCACTTCTAATGTTCTGCCCTGCTTCTGTGACGTGTATGTTTTAGCTATATCCCACTTTCCACATTTCCTACAACTGTATCCAGTGTAACATAAATCTGTGTAAGCTCTCTCTGCATTCAATACCTATCTGGCTTTGGGTCCAACAGAGACATTACCGGATGTACAACAAACTTAATGCCTTCTTTGGTTACAAGGAATAAATCTCCGTTCAGACATAAGTCCATAGGTCTAAGCAAATAATGCCCTTTAAAAGCAATTTTTACTTTTGTTTTTCATAAATGGAGCTAAAACCAAAATAAAAAATATTTCCATTGCCTTATCACAGAGAAAAAGCTTTTTAAAAGTCTTAGGGTGCCAAATAAACACCAAATGCAAAAGTAAACTAGTCATAAATCAACAAACTATCTTTCACATCAGTGTAGGTTAAATGTTTTGATTTTGAGTAATCAGGATAGAATACTTTTTTCTCTTTATATGGATGATTGTTTGGCACTATAGAGAAAAAACTGATTTTAAATTTGAAAACATAACATATGCGTATGTGGCTATGAAAATGGAAAAGGATGAATAAAAATAAAAGAGGCTAAAAGAAGAAACAAAACTATCAGATTAAATGTACATCCTATATTGGCTGAAACTTTTAACTTTGGGGTAATATTTTTAAAATAAAAAATCAACAATCCTGATTAATTATTTTTAAACTATATTTTCAAGTCATTTTATGAGAACAGTTTTAGGGAGTACTGGCAATGTTTAATCTCATATCTCAAGCAGATTTTTGTCTGCAATTTATAACTGCTCTAACGAGCCAAAAATCCAGTTTCCTTTCACTCTTCCTGTGGAAACCTCCTACTTACAGGCTTGCATAAAACTTTGATTATTCTAGTTTTTAATTTGTGAAGAAACTAACAGTGCCTCTCTCTTTCCCTCTCTCTTTCACTGAATTGTAGGTAAACTTGCCCTTGTCTGGTAAATGTAATGCTAACTCTTTTGACTGAAGCACCACAACATGCAGCCTGATTGAAATGGTGCTGAAAGCTGCAATGTGTGCTGCTAACTTGTATAAATGGGGGAAAAGCAACTTACAATTAATTTCCAAAGTAATATTGTTTGCAATTTTTTACTATTAATGATCTTCATCTTTTTATGTGAGATTCATTTTCTCTTTTAACACAATCCTACTCTTGAAGGCTGAGAATTCATTGACTAACTGTTGTGAAGTTAAAGCAGGAAATGCTCATAATACTTGGTTCCAAAATGTATAAATTTAGATGCTTCCTTTGAAAAAGTTCTGTAAATATAAAACCTGCAAATATTCTGTTACTGTTAAACGTTAGTGCTTCCTATGCACATTAGTTTGTCTCCATATATCCTTATTTTCAAATCTTTTTCTATTTACTACTAATCTTTAGTATATGCCAAAAAATGGCCTCTTTTTTCTTAATATACCAAGAGAACTATTGAATATAAATCAAGCTATTTAAAAGAAACTTTTCAAGAGGTACTTATCACTTACAATTGCCAAGGTATAAACTTTTATTGTTCAGATATTTTGGCTCCTCAACATTCATTTTATATAGTTCTACTTTTCTAGTTTATTACCTAAAACCAGATCAGCTCATAAATGTATGTAATGTTAAAAAGAAAATTCCATAAAATAAGGGATCTCATATGTTGGAGACATTGCCAGAACTTTTTTGTATTTGGTGTGAAAGGAAAATTACAAAATCAGGAAAAAATACTCAGTTTTCATATAATTCTAAAATATAAAACACTGCCGAAAACAACTCTCAGATCATTTATGAAGAGCTCCACAACAGCAATCTCAGAGTCCAGACTTCAAAACAACCAACCCTTCTGTCCCTGCTCTGTTACTCAAAAAAGCACAAAGCAGTAAAAGGTGTTTGCATAGCAAAGGTTGCTGGGTTATCTGAGACCTAGCACTTTTCAGTCTCTTCATACAACTGCTATGAAGCTGAGAATGACTCTTTAGTCATGGATTGCAAAGTGGGTGCAGAGGGAGCTAAGGGCAAGATCCACTGCAGCAATAGAGGGCAATTGGAGGGTCAGAGCATTCCTGGCCCCAGTGGTGGCCAGTAGACCACAACCTGGAACAAACGACCTCAAAGCCAAGGGATGGTCAGCACGAATAAGAGATTCACAACAGAGATTCACTGGGAGGCTACAAGCAATAGGAATTGTCTAAATTCAGCCTTTGGTTTCCCAGCTGAGCAGGACATTCATTTGGAAGAGCGCTCCGTGCTCCAGAATCTGGTTATCCACTTTGTACCTTTAGATAAATATTCAATTTAACCCCTTGATAAAAAGTCTACATAGGATCTTGTCCAGGGGCCAAAGTTCAGGTCTCTGTTTTTACATTAAAAATACCATATTACAAGCATGTTATTTTCCTGTCCTAATGAATTTTTAACTTTAAAAATGAGATTTCCCACCCTGATAAGAGTGGGAAATGTTTTTCCTAATAGCTAGGTGATTAGGATGCAGAAAATGCAAGTTTGAAACTCCTCTGAGCAAGAAGCACAGAGCATCTCTATCTTCCTGCTTGCACTCTACCACCATGATCCTGAGTTTCCTTCCTTCCCCCCTTCCTCCATACTGTGAGCTGGTCTACTTGCCCAGCACAGCCTTCATGAGGCACTCGTGACCATGGGAACCGAAGGAGTCTGGTTATCCTCACTGACCCACAACATGGTAAAAGCCAGTGTCCAGGCTTTTCTTTAGGTTCAGTCTGCCATAATTTGGTCCACATCATCTGCAAGTGCATCAGGGCAGGGTACACAGTAAGTAGCGTTGCACGGTCCTGGCACTGTGGAATGTATTCTGTCTTTAGATGTACCTGTGTGGGCTCCCATACAAACAATTCTTGATGCTTTTGTCTGGAAGGACTTCTTTATCTGCTAAGACAACTCCCTCTGCTACTTTCCAAAGCACATTCACTTGGATTTTTGGCTAAGTTCAGGCACAGGCTGTCTCCCTGGAAATTGCCTTGCTCCTGAGGTAGCAGCTGAGTCTCCCAAGGCCGCTGGCATCCTTCAGGGTTGCTTTGCTCAGTAACCCCCTCAGTCCCTGGCCTGATAAAAAAATGTCAGTGTTCAGCCTTGCGGTTTTTGCTGGGGCTTCTTGTGCAGCAGCAATCCATCACACCCAGCTGGCTGCTGAGCTGCTGCCCGACAGCAGCGCTGGCAAAAACTCTAAGGCCAGGTCTACTCCGCAAACATTTGCTTTTGGGGCTATTTTCTAGGCTCTGGTGAGAAACCCGTCTGTGTTAGTAAGGCCTGATAGCATTGACACAAGGATTTGGGGTCTCTGCACTCTTCCTTGTCTAATGCCTTTAATCAGAACAAAAGTAGGTTTTGCTAGCGGAGCTACATAGACCCTGAGAGGTGTCAGTACTGTGCACTTATATGGGCTAGAAAAAGTGTTTCTTTTGTTGATCTGAATATAAAGGCTACTCAAAAGTTTTCTGTCTTTCTTGAGAGATTAAATCCTTCAGGCTTCCAGTAGGATTTTGGAAAGGCATAATTTTAGAAAACAAAATAATAAAACCGTTCAACCTTAGGTAAGGGGTTGTTAACACCCACTGACTTTTGGTGATCCCACTTTATGCTCCTGCAAAATAAGTTTTGAAAATAAGGATAATGCTCTAATAAATCACATACATTATTCATCTCACCTTACTGTCATCTTCTGAAATAGTGCAGTCTGGGACAGTTCTATGAACTCTCACAAACTAAAGAAGTTAGTTTTTTAGGGGGAAAGTCTTCATCCTGCTTCATTTTTCTTTTGGGTACTCTCTCTCTATATATATATATATATATACTCAACCAGCCACCAACCTTTAAATGTTTAGTTGTAGATGAGAACAAACCTTGTCTTTAGACACTTCTGAATGTGAATATTTTCTTTTTGCATTTGGCCTCCTCACAACTTTTCCCTTTCTTGTATCCCTTCTCTTGAAAAAGGACAAGGTGCTACAAGAAGGCAACATGAACTGAGAAATGAACCCATGAACAGCTGCCAGATTTGAGCATTCACAGCTCTTTCAGGGAAAGGAATAACTCCCACCCTAGCTAAATGAAAAGGGCATGACATAGTGGAAGGCAATAGTCTCAAAAGGGTTAGAGGGCATTTAATTTTGGAAAAACTCCCATGACAAAATCCTGAAAAATATCTTGCTTCCTGGGTAATAAAACCACTCACAAAAATACAGAGGAGGTAATCACTTCCCATTGCTGTTTTCCAGGGCAGTGGATTGTCCCTTGCCTCAGCTGCTCTGACAACAGGACCTGTGACTGGAGAGAAATAACGTGGCAGCCCCATGGCTGCCGACACTCTGTGCTAGCCAAGCCCGAGCTCCAGCGCTGTGTGGAGGGCAGAAGGGTATGTAATAGGTTTTACATTTTAATTAATTTTATTTACCTGGATATTAGTCGTGAAGATTTCAAAATATTTTTATGATTGATGTGTGAGAAAAATCCCTTTTTATTATAACTGGAAAAATATTCAGATGAAAAATCAACAGGGACAAAAATCAACCATTATCCATAATTTAGCCTCATACGCAGAGGCAGTTGTCTGCTGCCATTTCACATAGGATCTTAGGTCACACCAGTGAAGTTTCAAGACCTATGGTGTATGTGGCTACCAGTCAGACCTGCAGTGAGTACACAAGGATGGCAAAATGGATTTGCGTTGTCACAGTTTGTCTCACATTTGACATGCAAGTTGGTTTTCTTCTTCTGCATACCTAATGCATGGCATTGCTTGTGCACACTAATCTTACCAAGTCTTCTTGCACATTCTTTTCTTTTAGTGAAGCTTCTAAGGTGATTGCTTGGAAATACAAGGTCTCCTTAATAAGCATGCTATGACTGTAAAACTGTTGAGAGAGAGCTCTGATCTGAGGCTCAGGTACCTTACTGAGGATACAAGTATCCAGAAAGTAAGTAATTAATTGTTATAAAGATGTTAAAGTGTATTACCTAGTTAAGAAAACAGTAACTAAAAGTGGCATTTTGATAAAATCGAAGAACATTTCTAGATAGACAAATACAAAAATAATAGTTTTTCAATTAACATTTTCTTCTTAATTTCTGGTAATTTCTTGCCCTGCAAAAAGTACTTTATTGCAATTTGGCTTTATTTCTGCATGCGGTTTTCTCAATTACTATAGAGCTGTGCATTTCTCTTAACATATTTTTCTAAAATAATATTGTTTATATGACAGAGTAGAGGCTTGATTTGCACCTCATGTACAAAACAAGCACTTCTGGATTGACCACAGCAAAAATAGACAAGAAATTGATAGCTTTGCTTTGGTCTTTAATTTCCATGGACATCAGGCTGCTTCAATAAGCAAACACCCTTTTGGTCAGGCAGTTGAAGGACAACGGAGGAACAATATGCTACTTTGGAAGTGGATTGCCAGAGTATTGCTGGGAGGATTTGCTGATGTTCCCACCTCATGAATCTGACCACTCACATTCACCAGTGTCAAAAGCATTTGCTAAGAGTCCATTAAAACCAAGTATATGAAATGACTGTGAGCTTAATTTCTTAATTCAACTTCCATGATGTTCTGACTCTCTGAGGTCACTGATCTATTCTAGTGTCAGATGAGACTCAGATCCTACATGATTAACACCTTGCAAGAAAAATCCCTGTAAGACTAATTGCACTTGTTTCCTATCCTATAACTTTTACATAAGTTACCTGACTGATAACCTTTTCTGCTCTGTAGAAACCTGCTGAATCACTCCTGTTATCTTTGCACAGATGTCCATTTAACTGGTTTATTCTTTTTAAGTCATTACTCTAAAGTATGTTCCCCTTTTGGAACCTTTCCCCTATATCTTTCTCTCCTATATTTTCCCTTTTTGTCATCAATTTGTAGTGATTTTAACTTTGTGTGATGTTTTGCAATAGCATTTTTGCTTCTTTCACCAAATGAATAAAGGTAGAGTATGGGTTAACTCCCCTGTTTCAGTAGAACTTAAGAACTAAGAGAGAATTTCTTCATAGTAAACGTAGATGAATAAAAATGGTTCCCTGCTTGGCTGATAAGATCCTGATATTGCCTGTTGTAAGTCAAACTTTAGAATTACTTTACACAGTCTAAGCAATGTAGTAGAAGAAAAAAATTTCAGGGGGTCCCTGCAAAAGACTTTTGCCTGTCTTATATGTTTAAGAAACCCAAATCTTTTATGGACGAGCTACTGAGTAGCCAGTAGTATAATTCTGATATAATCAGAATTATATCACATATCATATAATAATTATATCATAATTATATCACAAGATATAATTCTTGTGAGTAAATACATTTTTATTACACAAGGAATTTTTATAAACACCTATAAATAATTATATTTCCTCATTTGCGATTTTAGTTTCAATGCATTTCATACCTTGTCTTTAAGTACTACAGACATCTTAGTTTCCAGAAACAGGTTTCAATGCTAGAAATGTAATCAGATAGCAAAAAAAAAAAGCATGAGTGCAAAACAGGTGCAAAAGTCATCAGTCCAAGTGAGGACACTGAGATAATCTAGAATGCTCTTTGATTTACATTGTCATTTGCTGAAGTTGCCTAAAAACAGCACAACTCATTTGCATGTCCACTTCTCAAAAAGGGCTCAACTAACCTGTATATCTCTGTATTCAGGGTTTTTGAATATTCAGCTTGTGTATCTGCGGTCTCAGCAGTTCATAATTCTTTAGGAAGGACTCGTGTATCTACATCTGAATTCTTCCTGAAATTTTATTCTGAATTAAGGCAATAAAACCTCTATAAACCCCAGATAATTACCAATCCTTTCTCAGGAAAGTAGAGGAATATTTCTGTAGCCTCTTTGGGTCCAATGACATTATACCTACTGTCAAAACTCTAACAGCCCTCTGTGACTGAAATACACCCTTGAATACCTTCATAAAAAATTCAGACATGCAAAATTGCACCAGGAGTCATAGATAAAGCAAGTAGTGACATTTTTGATTCACTAGAGTAAAGTTTCTGATTTTTGTCCTGGAAAAAAATATGATTTATTTTCAGGATTTTGATCTGCTGGCTATACTTCTTACCATTTAAAACATCGTTTGTGTAAAGCATTTGACACTGTATACTGCATGAAATCCTTGCCTTTAAACTGGAGAGACAAGAATTTGATAGATAGAACATTCAGTGCATAAAAAATTAACTGAGTGGTGGCACTCAAAGAGTTGTGTTTAGTGGCTCAATGTCTGAGTGGAGAGCAGTGACAAATGATGGGCCTCAGGGGTACTGAGACCAGTGCCGTTTAACATGGAAAGTGGGATCAAGTGCATCCTCAGTAAGTTTGCCACCCAGCTGTGTGGCAGAGTCAACTTGCAGGAGGGTAGGAATGCCATCCAGAGGAACCCTGACGGGCTTGAGAGGTGGGCTTCTGTGCCTCATGGACTTCAACAAGGCCAAGTGCAAGGTCCTGCACCTGTGTCAGGGCAATCCCAAGCACAAGTGCGGGCTGGGGTGATGAAATAGGATAAAGTGAATGTTCTTTTTGTTTGAAATGCAGCACGTTGAAGATCAACTGTATCTTTAAGTGCAATCCTTCTGTTTTTCTCATGTTTCATAGAACATTGATAAAATGCAGCACATAGATATCTCTTGCTCATTAGTTTCTTTTATTCATTTGCCAATATTTCTAAAATATATTTATGATCACCCAAGCAGACCACTTCTTTCCTATCTGCATCATAATTAAACCTTCAAAAATGCTTTCTAATTTGTTTTCCAACTCCAGACTGCTTTCATGTCTTATGTTAGAATTTATTTGTTTTCCAAAGCTCATCTGTAAAATTGTAATCTCCTTTCTCTATAAGAGAAATTAATTTTCCCTGGCTGTGACTTCCTGTTGATTTCAATCATCACTGACTGCTATTTTAGTTTGTATGCTTATAGAACTGTGCTTGAGCTAAGTTATTTCTGTGTGGTGTTGTTTAACCTGGCAGGCAGCTAAACACCCCACAGCCATTCATTCACTGCCCCACAGTGGGATGAGGGATAGAATCAGAAAAAATAGTAAAACTCATGGGTTGAAAAAAAAGACAGTTTAGCAGAACGGATGAAGAGGGGAAAATAATAATGATAAAAATATACAAAGGAAGTGATACGCAATGCTATTTCACACCACCCACTGACCAGCGGCCAGCCAGTCCCTGAGCAGAGGTTGTCATCCCCCAGCCAGTTCCCCTCAGTTTCATTGTTCAACATGATGCCCTATGGTTTGGAATATCCCTTTGGCCAGCTGGGTTCAGTTATCCAGGGTGTCCCCTCCTAGCTTCTTGTGCTGCCGACCCTCCTTGCTGGCAGGGCAGAACAAGAATCTGAAAAGTCCTTGACTTAGTGTAAGCAATGCTCAGCAACAACTAAAACATCAGTGTATTATCAACATTATTCTCGTTCTGAATCCAAACCACAGGACTGTAACAGCTACTAGGAAGAAAATTACCTCTACCCCAGCCAAAACCAGGACACTTTGTTTCATAAAAATGTAAGACCACCTGTAGTGAAACAATAACATTCAGGCTGATGAGAGACATAAGAAAGGATATATGTGCACAAAAACAGTTTTATGAGGTCTTATTTTGCTTTATGATATGTTAGCAAGAATAGTATGTTTGATATATGTTTGCATTTCAAACACAGTAAACATGAAAATTTTGAAGTGCTGTGGTTAAGGTTGCTCTGGCTGAATAGATTTTCCTTCAGTCCACTTTTCATATCTGCAGACTTTTTTCTCCTCCATTTTAAACTCTAAGGGTAATGAAATGCAGACTACGTCATTCTTAGGGAACTCCATGTGTATATTCTAATTGAATCAAAGAAAGTGGTAGTCAGAATAAAAAATGTTATATCTGTATTATATTGGCTCAACAAAATTCTCTCTAACTGTGGTTAACGACTTCTTACTGTAAGACATATACAATTGTATTAAGACGATGCTTTGAATTTTGTACAATGGATTTTAAAAATGGATGGAGGAAAATGGGTTCTAACAGGTTATTATTTACCCAATTAGCAGCGTATAGAAAATTGGCCTCAACAGCAGGAGGGATATATATTTTGCTTATCATTGAGAAATACTAACCAGAGTTTAGTCTTATAATTAAGTACCATTGAGCCATGTGTAATTAAGAACAGGAAATATGAAAAGACAATATTTGCTGAAGTGCTTAAAATTCAGCTGTTAAAACAGGAATTTTAGCTTATAATTTCTTTATAATATCTTAGAGTTAAGTGGTGTTTTGAACTTACAGGTGTTTAAATTTCCTAAGTGTGGTTAATTTATAATGATAGGTCTGGTTAAGAATTGAATTCCACTATGCTTACACAATCTTTCAAAGCCTTTAAGCCATAATGGAATTTTTCACACAAAATGTCTGCAAGAGAAGACACTGAAAACATCTGTCTGTGTGAAAGTGTTGTTCTTTGTCTGGTGAAATTATAACCTTATATATGCCTGATCATTTAGTCATCCTGCAAACAAATCCTCATCAACTTGAACAGTACATGACTAAGCCTTGTGCCAGACGAGTAAAAAAAAAAAAAAAAGAGATATGACATATTCTACACACCTGAGCCATCATCTTCCTCATTATTGTAATAGTCATCCCTAGAGCCTTTGGTAGAAATCATATTAAATACCACATGGTACATGCAGCTACAGTGAGTTCATGCAAGTGTATAGAAATAAATGGGGCTATAGTTGCCACGCATTCAATTACATTGAATGATTAATTCATCAAAGCTCTTGGGTTAGCTGAAGTACATAGGTTTTCTTTCTCGAGCTAAACACCACTTATTTTAACTTTTGAGACTTCCAAGTGTTTGCTGAAAATGAAACTAATTTGCAGAACATGAATTTTGAAAGATTCTTTCTGATGGTTTGCATACCACAACAAAATGTGCTTGATCAGCTCTGCACAAGGGCAATTTGAAAAGCAGGTAGGATTACCTGTGGGTGTCCTCTTCTTCCACCTAATTTATTTTTTCTTTAGGGAGAAGAATTTGTTTATTTTTCCAGGATTTACACATCTCACAGCATGGTTGAACCAATAGTTAGAAGCAGATTGTTGGATGTAGACAAAGTCTTAATGAATGAATGCAGTATGTATGCAGATTTGCTAGTGATTTGCTATTCATCCGCCAGCCTGGGGTGCACTGGATTAGAAGGAATGCACACCTATCTTTCTGCTTGACATCTTCTCTGGACCTATGGCAGAACATTCCCTTCAATATCCCAGCACACATGGTCTACAGAGGATGACTGCTGATACCCTCCTGTGATGACTGCAAATAGACTTTAGAGCTAGAGAGCAGGGATCAAAGGTTTCAGATACTGCAGTCCTAATGTTAATGACATACCTCTCAACAATGCTGTAATTTCACTGTGAAAGATGTAGCTGGAGTTAAACAAATTTGCTTGATTCCAGTGATACAATGATGTAGCTCTTATCTATTTGAACAGCCAGACTTCTTCACTGAAAGCTCCTATGGTTCTGTAATTGGCTGACATCTTTGAGGGTCACCTACTCTTTTTATCTGCCTTTCTGTACATCCACAAGTCCACTTTGGCTCATTTCTTTCTTCCCCACTTACATCAAGTCTCAAGTATCCTCTTAGTCGACCTGTTTCTGAGAATCTGTGTTAATTTACAAGTGAAACAACTTGTATTCCTCCCCAGTGTGATGTTGCCTTCTGTCTCAATCCTGACTCATCATGTTCAGACACATCTTCTCCTAGAAATAAGTATATGTTCCCAGATGGACACTTAACAGCATTAGCTGTCTGACATAATTTCCTGCCCTCCTGCTTCACCATCTCATAACAAGCTCACTTAAGAGTGAAATGGAGATGTTCTGAGACACAACATCCTTTGGAGATAGGCTGTGTGCAGTCTCATCAATCTTATGATGATATTTCAAGTATGTCAGGGCTGTAACAGTTACCTGTTTCATCCTGTTATACTGACTATCTAAAGGAATCTGCTCTGGCTCCTGTCAGCTCCATAACATTCTCAGAACATCAGGACAACAACTATGCTAAAGCCCACCTGATATTTTCATATGGTGCCATGGCATTTATGGACTAGAACTGCCACTTTAAGACATAATTGTACCTAACTTGTCTCTCCTGATACTGATTGACTAAATGACTGCACACAGTACCCTTCCATCTGCAAACCTGGCCAGCTAGCTACCCCAGGGAAGGCTTGAAAATTCATTCATGGATCCATGGTTTATATGTGTATGCTTGTTTAGGTATAGAAATTGTAAAGCCCTAGAAGGCTAAATTGTTTAGTAGTGTAAATTGGGATGTGTGTGCGTATTTTGCTCTAATTTTGACACATCAAAAGAATAGGAAGGAGACCAATGAGTTGATCTTAGTCTTTGATGCTCTGCCATGTTTGAGACTTTGTAAATCTTTAGCATGACACTTCACACTTAAGTTGATAGTAAATGCACAGTGTTGGCAAAAAAGATATCTGTGCATCATTTTCATTGGTCTTAGCCATAGTTCCTCTCTCCTTTTTGTCATGAAGGTTTTTGTCATGCTATTTGAAAGGAGTGGTAGATGAGATTAGACCAAATACAGTTAGGAGAAAATGTCCATGAGAATCCTTATCACAGTAGAATGAAGAATGAGATAAAAATGCCACATCTACCAATTTAGGGTTATAGCTGAATATGCTCCTTTGCAATTCCCATGTGCTGTGATAAGGCAATAGTGTTGTATGTTACTAGAAGAGAAACAATCTTGTATGTTCTACCAGTTGCTCTATGTGTGTAACTTGGTAGTGCCTGTTTGTTATTCTGCTAATGATGTGTTGTGCTTTCACAGAAATGTTCTCACCCACATTACAAGCTAATGATATCCTTGCCTGCTATTATCTGAGAACTACTTTTTAAATAGATATACATCTAGATACTACAGTGATGGAAATCGAGATTAAGAGACATGGATATAGGCAGACTGAAGAAATTAGGAGATTTTGCAAGCTAAAAGAATTGTTGTTTAAAACCTCAAGGTTATCTACGTTAGCATTAGGACATATCCTAAGCATGAACCGTCTTCCTAATTGTAAATAATTGTGTGCATGTTTGTGTCTGTCAGAGAGGGAAAGACAGAATATTCAACTGGTCCTTTCAGGGATCCAAGGATCCTTGACTTCTGTGTGCCATGTTATACTTGGTTTAAAGGGTTTTCTTCTGACACAGTGTGAAAAGCTGGAAACCACCTTGCATGTGAGAGAAGTTCTTGTTTAGTACAAACATGAACAGCAGCTGTTTAAGAATTTTCTCTATGGAGCAGCTTTGAGAGGTCCAGGACAGGAGGTAGAAGAGCCTCTATGCACTTGGTGCTAGTTTTAATTTGTTTGCTACCAAACCTAATCTGTCAAGGGCTGCTCTGCAGCCCACAATGGGCAGGGCATGGGAAGCTGAAGGCATTGCTGTGCCCTTTCTTGGCCCCAACACCAGATTAGGGTACATTCATCTGAAATTGCTTCTGTTCTGTGGGAAGTGTCATTGGTACACTGTTGTGACTTATTTTTAATCACAATAGGTTAATAGTGGGAAGTGGAATCAGTTTCCAAAACTGTAATATTCCTTAAGGGAATAGATAAATAGATACGTATTAGATGAGTGAAGTCCAAGATGCTTCCACCACATAGAGTCTCTAAAAAAACACTTTGGATATGTATCTTAAGCATGTAGTCTTGTGTAGTCTTAATTTTATTTGCATAATCAAATATTCAATCTGGAAGTGGTGAAACATCAAACCCCAAACCAAATTAAGAAATGAAACAACAAAACACCAGATTACAGGGTGCCAACTACCCTGAGTGCCAGAGGAGGCAGGAGAAGCTGCACACTGTTGTGCAGAGAACAGGGCTGTTACTATGCTATGGTTCTATGGGGTTTCTGATTCCCAGTTTTACATTTTTGCTCCTCAGTGTGGACTTCTGGCTGAGGTGACTGTGGTAATTGATTATGCACACAGTTTCATTGGCAAACCACAGTGAAGCTGGGTTCTCATACTATTTTGTCATTGCTTACCTGCAGAAGGAACTGCTAGTCCTATGCACTAAAAATAGAGCAATTGCATAAAAAAAAAAAACCACTCTAAGTTCTGTGGTCTCCAAATACAGAGATGTTTGATTTGTCAGAGGAGTGTAAGAATGAATAGGAACAAGCCCAAATTTGACTTCCTTCATTTGCAAGTTCAGAGTAGCCCAGCAAAACTGCTAGACTTAAAGTACTTGTCATCCTGACAGTATTTCTAGCTCCCTTTACAGAAGGCAGACATTAATCAAGACATGCTGTGTAGGAACAAATGACATGGAAAAACTGAAGGAAAAAAGGAGGAAGCTGTGAACAATTATGAGAGCAGTTGTGCAGTAGCAATTGGAAGGAAATATACAGATAAACAAAAGAAATTATCACCAAGGATGAAAAATATGGGGCTAATTGTGCAGCTATAGCCATCTATAACCTGCACTTTTTGTCTTTGAAACATAATATAGCTTTTTCTTTTTCTAAAGGAGAACTTTAGTATTGAGATGTTAGGTCTGGAGAACAGGCAGCTCACAGAGGTATTACTTGAACATTATGAGAAGGGTTTAAAGACCTCCTGAGTAGCTGTATTCTTTTCTAAGCTTTTGGTTTCTGGATTGTACAACTTCTAAGTCATCTTTTTTTCCATCTAAAGATTCTTTTTATAGGTGACTCAACTAACAGAGGGATGATGTACTATCTAATAGAAAGAGTGAATAAAACTCTTCAGGAATGGCAAAAGACTCATGATGTTAAATGTTATCATAATATCAATGAGGGGAAAACATTTATCAGTTACTCCTACTACCCCCAGTTCTGGATGAATGCAAACCGGAGACCAACTTTTGAAAAAGCACTGGAACAGCTGCTGCGGAGGTATTGTACAAACTCTATTTTACCCTTGTTTGTGTTGTTCTATTCACATAAATGTGTTTAACACATTTCACAATTAAAGACAGTAAACAATTAAGCATAACATGTGCAGACCGTGTTGTGTGATTAAAAAATAGTAGAAAATTACATCAGGCCTCTGATCAGGGTGGCCAGATACAGTTCAGTGAAATGCAATGCAATGCAGTTAAAATGTTTGCCATCTGTTTTAAAGCAAGATGTGTTGTTTTTCTTTTCTGGGTTTCAGATCACGTCCCCTGGAGAACACAGACCAGACTGTATTAATTGTAGGTGGTGTTCAGTGGCTTAATTCCAATCACCTGCAAATTATCCAAAAGGTGTTGAGCAGGTAATGCCATGTACTTGGTGTTATTCCAAGTTTTGATACGATAAATTATGAGAAACAACAAAAATTTTTAAACAAAACATTTCATTTGTTTTCTCATGGGTGTGCACTTAAGTGGCGTTTAAAAAAATAAATATACATTGTCTTTTGATGTTTCTTTTAAGTAAATATTCAAGGTGAGGCTACAGCAGTGTCCTGCTCTACTCTGCAATGGTGCAGCCTCACCTTGAATATTGTGTGCAGTTTTGGACAACACAGTATAAGATAGATATTAAGCTATTGGAGAGTGTCCAAAGAAGGGCAATGAAGATGGTGAAGGAAGGGCCTTGAGGGGAAGCCCTGTGAGGTCACTTGGTCTCTTCAGCCTGGAGAAGAGGAGACTGAGGGGAGACCTCACTGCGGTTACAACTTCCTTGTGAGAGGAGGAGGAGGGGCAGACACCAACCTCTTCTCTATGGTGACCAGTGACAGGACCCAAGGGAATAGCCTGAAGCTGTGTCAGGGAGGTTTAGGTTGGATATTAGAAAAAGGTTCTTCATGCAGAGGGTGGTTGGGCACTGGAACAGACTCCCCAGGGAAGTGGTCACAGCACCAAACCTGCCAGAGTTCAAGAAGTGTTTGAATGATACTCTGAGGCACATGGTGGGACTCTTGGGATGGTCCTGTGCAGGACTAAGGGTTGGACTTGATGATTCTTATGGGTCCCTTCCAACTCAGCATATTCTGTGATTCTATGACTAAAATGTTATTTCTTTTTTTCCTTTTTAATTTGCCAAACAGGGAAAATCTATCAAATATCCTGGTAATTATCAAATCCATAGGGATGGGCTTTCACCTCCCAGTGGATGGAATACATTCTCTATCACAGGTAAGCTATAGTACATTTTGAATGTATTTTCATGGAAAACTTGTAATTTCAGCATTAATTTTGCTGTTTGGTCAAAATGTGTTACAACCTCTGCTGAGCAAGCTTTAAGTGGATCAAAGAAAGATTCATGTTTGTATTTGCTCATACAGCTTACTTATATGTATTCAAATCAATTTGCCTTATTTTAAGGATTACATTGCAATCAGAGAGCCATTGGAGATGCTGTGCTTGGTCAGCCATCCCAAGAACCAGAAGAAGTTCCAATATTAATCCTGTTATCCAAACTGAGAAATCGTGCTAGGGATAAGCAGATTGCTCCTTGTACCACGTTGAGCATAGGCCCTTCCCAGGCTTCCTCCATGTTTACTGCTGGATCAGATTTACTGGTCTGGCTGCATTGCATAACTCTCATAAATCTAACTTAACTCACCTGTGAAACCAGAACATTACAGAGCAGCTGGAATGTACCGGTGAATCCAGCCTGTTATTTGTATGTTAATTATATGTTACAGTTAGTTTAAATCATATCCAAAACCCTCAGAGTAACAAATGGGCTGATTTCAATGAGCTTTTGTAACTCATTCAATTCAATATTTTTATGTACAATTTGGACATTGATTCTCTATTCCCTACACATAAAATGCATGGATGAGAAGCACTGGAGGGCAGAATGGAGTGAATGATGCCTGCCAGCACTGTGTGTCATGCTCCAGCTATTCACAGGTGTCGAAAAGAGAAAATTATTAGCTTTCATAGATTATGTACAGCACTCCTTTCACACTGGGGACTGGTGCCCACGTCTTTTTGCAACCATAACACACTGCTGTATTCAGTGTGTGACTTACTGCTACTCTCACCCCTCTTTCTGCTGCAGAGACTATCCTGTCTGATTTTGCCCATTCTTTCCCTCTAACTATTTATCTACCTTCTCTCTATTGAATGTCTTCTTATTGATTCAAACTGTTTTCTTAATTTATCTGGATGACCACAATAGAATACCGTAGGGAAATTGTTGTCATCAACATGAAGAAACATTTTCATAGCTCCTGCCATAGGTTTCAGCAGACTTCAGTCCTAGGAGGAAGAAGAATTTTGATGCAGTGAGGCAAGGATAGAAAGACTATTAAAGGCTTCTGAGGAGTACCTTTTTCTTTTTTTTTTTTTTTTGTTTTTTATTCAGAAAATTGGCAAAACTCCAGAAATCAACTATGGTGAATAACTGACATTCTTTTCTCTTTCAACTGGAATCTTATGCCAAATTACCCATGTGGTTTGGGTCCTCTAGGCTTCAGAACTACCGCAGCTGCTCTCAAAGCTCTTCTATCTGCAGTGTCAAATCCACTGCCTTGCCCCCTTTATGGCTAAATTTTTTTCTATTCTTGGCCTTCCTGCAGAATCTTCAGAAATAATAATCTGTTCTTCAGTATAACCATTACTCAGTAATTATACTTTAAAAAACCTTGAAATCTTCCTATAAAGGAAGCTGTACAACTACTGAAAAGATATTGTAATTTCTGCAAAAATCTACAACAGCCTTGGAGGAGTAGCTATTTCCAAGAGTGAATTTATAGTAATTCATGCCTGAAGTATAACATCATTGCTTATTGAAAATGCAGTTTTGTTATACATCTCCATGACACAATACCCCTTAAACAGCCTTTCTGACAAGAGATTGCAATATTTTATCTGGAATGCAGGCACAAATACAAAACCTGTGGAATGAAAACTTGATTATTCTGGATACAGCAAAAAAATTGGGCTATGAAGTGGTAGACACCTTTGTCATCACCATGGGACGTTACAAGGAATTCCTACAAGGGAAGTGCGGTTGTCATTTCCATGAGGTAATAATTTACACTTATATAATTTCCAGGTATTTAAGATATTTTACCTGCCAAGTGCTTAGAAACAAAAAGCTATGCAGTGAGGTTAGCATTTGTGACTCAGAGTTAGGCCTGAATACAGATTGTAGGTGTAGCAGTTTGTAGAGGGCACTTGCCCCTCACTGCTTAGAGTGTAAGGTGACGCAGCAACAGGCTGAACTGCTATAGTGATGATTCCTCAAAATAAAAATAAATATGTTCTTCTGCAAAGGTAACTCATATAAATGATTCTGCACAGTTTCCAGGTTCTTATGTTATTTGTTATGTGTTATATAACCCTGCTGCTTCTTCATGGACTGTTTGTCTTTTTACTGTACCTCAGTCTCACAGGTTTTTGTCTGATGGCTTCCCAGCTGAGCAGCTCAGCACACTCACATCGAACCAAAAATACAATTAAAATGGAGCTTAAAATTGAAGGACCAATCTCACTGTTATGTATCTGTTTTCCTTTGTCTGAGAAAAAAAATTTCTGGGATAGTTACAGTAACCAACTATACAAACAGAAGTGTAAGTGAGAAATTGCTTGTGATGCTACAGGGTTCTTCATTCTTATGAACTGAATCTGGATTGTTTAACAAAAGATTAGGAAACTACCACAGGTTATTTAGCTAAAATCTGTTCAGAACCATAAGACTGTGATTGTCATATCTTTCAGAAAGATTGCATTTTCTCTGAGTGAGCAAAAGAGAGGTGAAAGTTTTGATAGAATGAGATACAGAATGAGAACAAACTGTTACACAGAAGTTAAAACCGGAGGGGGAAAAAGAATGCGAAGAAAGATAGCTCTCTGAAATCAAGAGTTAATAAATTTATAATGTTTCATAATCCTAGGATTTATTTTTTATTAGAGTTATCAAAAGTGCATAAATGTTAAAATGTTAAAAAAGACTAGCACCACACAAGTTAAATACCAGTATTTTTTCAGCATGATTTTAATATTTAGTTTTCTGTCAAAATAAAGTACTTTAAGTAAGAGAGACCACCAAATAATTTCCAAACCTCTCAAGGATAAACTCCCTTTGCTTATTTTGCCAAGTCATACCAATTTTTCTGTAAGCCTCACTCTTGGCCAAACTTGTTCCCAGGACCTGAACGTGTTCAGGGTTAGCAGAGAAGCTCTGTAGAGTTTTGCAGGTACAAAGGTGGGCCATGGCACCAGGAATGAAGTGGAGGTACTAATTTTTGCTGTAAAAAATTTCAGGACAGTTATGATATATTTTCCTTAAAGATCCTAAAAAAGCAACAATCTAAAAATAAAGTTTCCTTCATCAGACACCCACAGTATACACTGGAAACCAAAATATCCTGTGGCTAATTAAACCTAGGAGTAGTTTAAACTAAACAAACTGAAATTCAGTGGTGATGATTGTAAAATTCAAGCACAGGCTCCGGAGTGTCCTTGTGGTGTCTGCATATGTGTAGCAAGTCTATTTTCTTGTAGCCCGTGGATTATATTTAACTCTCTCAGCCACAGCAGAAGAAAACAATTAATAACTATAACGCTTTGATTTTTCTCCTTAAAAACACAGGTAGAAATTTTATCTCAGACACAGTCTGCCAGACAACAAATGCATTTCCAAAAAGTCTGGGGAGTTAATTGGCTGGAACTGGTTGGGACTCTGCTCCGATATGAGGTTCCCTGGGACAGAGCACAAGTTTGGGAGTGTTGTCAGATCCATCTGATCTCTAGTGCCATGTGTTAGCCTCACAGCTGGTTTCCACCCCAGCTCCCCAGCAGCTCACATGTTTTCAGCCCTTTGCCATGGCCTCTGTAGTGCTTTGGGACCAAAATCAGCAGGTGTGGCTAGTTAACCAGTCCTTTAATCTATTCTGCTCAGAACTTGAGAGGTACAAACACAGCTCAGTACAAATGGAGCTGGAAAAGCGGGAGTAAGTCACAGAGCAGATATTTATGTGATGGATAAATCATCCCATGGAGTAAATGCCTCCCTCCATTTTACCCAGAAAGTTTTGACCTTTCTTTGTCTAGAGCACAGATGTTGGTATCTTTGTGGGTCACTGCTGATGCTTGCCATTTCCACAGATCTTACAAGCAAAAAGAAGAGCTTCAAAGTGAAATGTTTCAGATGTTTTGTATGGAACCAGGTCAAAAACAGGAGGGCGTGATCGACCATCAGCATTTTTCATGCACTCCTCCATCATTTTGTATGAGCTCATGTTCAGATTTGGTCTTGTTTCTCTGCTGGAAGAATCTCAACAGAAAGTATGTGTTTCTGGGGAGGATCAGTGCAGAATTTGACCCACAAAGCTGTTGCTAATGAGGCTTGAGAGGTCATTGTGCCTGAAAGAGGTGCAGATATGCCCAGGAGAATCCATCAGCCACTAAAACCCAGACTTGATCCTTGAGGAAAGCAAACAGAAAATCCTTGAATGCTTTTGATACCTTGTTAGTTTTAACAGTTTTGTCTTCAGCTTATTTCTGCATATTGGCATCCTGGCAAGTGGAGTTTCATCAGGTGCTGAAGCAGTTTGCACTAGGAAAAATGGCATTTTGCCTCTGAGGATAGAGCCAAGAACACTATGTAAAACTCCAGGACTTTTCATGTTTTCTGAAACCAGACGAGATAGATTAAATCTATTCCTTTGTACTTTCACTTTCTTTCTCTTAAAAAAATGACATTCCTAAATGCCCAGAAGATGACTCCCCCCTATAATTGCCATCTGAGCTAAATCATGGCTGTATGGGAAGGAGGGATTGGCCATTCCATGCAGTCAAAAAACAAGAACTGAAATGCCCTCAGCAGTTCTCATTTAGTTCTCATTATCTGACTGAAGAGAAAGTTATTTCCCCTGATTGTCCTCAAAAATTAGTGGAGTTCCCACCAACCCACTTCAGTGGGTCTTCAGGGTGAGCCTGATAGCATAGAAATCTGCACCTCTGTAGACCCTACAATCTTTACTCAGATTGCCAAGGGATCTGGGCTTTCAAAGGGATTATGTTGAGCTGAGACAAACTATCTTGCGTAACCCTGGTACTTGCTGCCCAAACGTACTTCTAGTTCTGTGCACATGTGCAAACTTGATTTTTTATTTACCTCATTCTTTTAAAATGCTTAAGGAGAAGTAGATTGGGCAGCACTTACAAAGACCATTATAGAAGCTATTTTTAAATTAGATTTATTTCCTATTTTAATGGCAATGAAATCATGGTCACAACATAGAAACTAGCAATCTCGGGATTTTCATATCTTAATCAGTGGCTGGATGACTGCTGGATGAACATTAGATTGCATTCCTGGGAGATTATGCCTAACAGGAATGCAGTTGGGGTGATTGGTTCAAGGTGGCATAATTTTAAAATAGTTGTAAGATCTAAGGCACTAATTTAGAAAAATGAACCTGCAGTAATTAAATAAAAAGAAATAATAGCCCTTCACTTAGCTGTATCAAATTGATCAGAGGATATATTAATTTTCTACATGGGTAGTTCCTGGTCTTTTTTCAGTTCAGCTAGCGTCCTCATAGCCTCTCTGCTCATTTTTTCAATCCTTTGCACTTGTTACTCCTTCACTCACACTTAATTTTGTATGATTTGTCTCATTTATTATGAGATTCACTACATATAAACATTTATGCTGATTGTTCAGTGGCAGTAAATATACCTTATATTTTTTTAAAAACTAACATGTTTCTGAATAAATACGTGCATTAATAAATGAATTCTGCGTTTTCAAGTGTCTGCTGTGATTGATATAGCAGGAAAAATGATGGGCATCAGAGCTATCAAATCAGCATATATTTACTTTTTAAAAAATAAGTTAACCACTTGTCTCCTTTTCTCTTTTCTCTGGATTTGCCACTGCTGGGGCTGAGGTCTTCTGTCCTGCATATGCGCAAGGTTCTAGAGTTTAGCCTCTTGAAGTTGCTTCATTATTCATCAGTAACTGAGTGTTCACTGAGACAAGACCTTCAGCATTTCACAGGAGACCACCCTCCCCAGTCATTAGGCTCCTGACAACCATACCTTTCACTTTCTCTCTTATTAGTCCCATAGGCATTTGTTTATTCCATACAAACTGAACCTGATAATCCCAGAGCTTTATACATATTTGAGGGGCCAAGGTGAAGCATTCTTTGGCACTAGTTACTGAATCGTGTTGTGGTTATCTCACTGTGAGGCCCTGGGCACAGGGATGTTAAATTGCACCATACCTCCCTTCTTGGAGAAACATGACACAGAAGTGCTTTCATCTCACCATGGGGATGGGCCAGGTTTGCATCGAGACCTTAGAGTGAGACATTCTCATAGTTCAGACAAGGCTCTTAGCTGAGTCACAACATTTGTTCCTCCAGTGCTTAATATCAGACTAGAATTTAAACCTTTCTGCAGTTTGGGGCTGTCCTTTGTTTTTTCACATGCTGAATATACAGAGAAGATGTCGAATATGAATTTTACTGTTTTCCATAAACTGTCACTAATGAAGTAAGCAGAATCTAATATACATTAGAATTAGCATTACAGAATCAACTGAGTATAATGGGCCTATGCACTGAGATTTCTAGACTGAAGATCTTGCACTTTTGTATGTAACATAACAAGCTGGCCATTAAAATACTGTTTGCGAGCAAGTTGCAGCTCAAGGTAAGAATATCAGAACCCGCTTTGTGCACAACTGCCTCAGCATTTCTGTGCACACAGCTGTGTATCTGTCTTTTTAGGTGCAGGCAGAAAGCACTCACATATGTCACTTCTTTTGCAGGTGGTGAAATCCAATCCCTCTGAAGAACGGCCACACATAACAATGACGTTATCAAGACACTATACACTGGGGAAGTATTTCAGCAGTCAAAGCAAACTATCACAACTGCAGGACTATGCAACAAATTCTCAGTCCCCATATCATGTCCGAGGTCCAATAAATCAAGTATATTCTGAAATCCTTCTCAGCAGGCTCTGTGCAAGTAAGAGGGAGCTTGTCAGCACATAGCCTCTCTTGGATGTAGTGCTGGCACTAGAGAAGTACCACTACATGAGTGACAATTGAAGGATCATGGAGAATTTTGACATGCTTCCTTGATTGACTGAACAAACACAAACAGTTTGGGATGTGATATTTTTTCAAAAACATTATGAAACTAAGATATGCCCTAGTGACTCTGTTGTGTCAAAACTGAAGGTGGAGAAAAGAGAGGAAGTTACTTGAACTGTTGCCAAAGACTAGAACAGCTGTAGCTCAAGCAACTGTGTATTAATGATAGTAAAGTGAGAGAAATATATTTACTTGAACATTTGGAAAGGACTGCTTCAGTTCTTCAGCACTATATAGTTTTCTATTTATAGAGACACTGTAATATTTGAATGTATTTAGAAACTGACAACATTCCATTTTAAAGAGTTTTATTTTTATGTGGATAGATTTCCCTTGAATATCAAACATTTTCTATTTAGCCACATACAATTCAAAATGTCTGTAGCATTTTACTGATGATGCCAAGTTTGAACTCTAGTGGTTTTAGTGAAAACACACTTCTCTATATCTTAGATGGAAGAGATATCTACTCTATTTTTTTGCATGTTCTAAAGCTAATAGAGAGATAGATTACTTACACTTGAGAATGATTGTATCTGTTTCAATGTAACATGTAAGTATAATGAATTTGTTAACATAACTTTATTTATGGTTCCAGTTTAGGAGAGTGCCTATGTGCAAGAAGAACACTTAGATAAGTGCTTCAGTGTCTACCTTGGCCTGTGAGCCAAGCAAGTATTCTTCCCACATGGAAGTGCTGTTTCCTTCATGATTTTCATAAAATACTTGCCAATGTGTGAAGCCAATACCATAAACATAAGAAAAATCCCCTTTGCAAGCACACATAAAAACTTCAGGATCTGGTTATTAATCTGTCATGAGGAGCGTGTGATGCAATGGCAGCCTGAGATTTACAAACAGCATCCCATGCTTGGCAGGGGCAAGACCTTTTATGAATGCTAGTTTCAGTTCAGACCTTCTCTGAACTGTAGCTTCATGCTGGAGCCCAGCTACATCAGCAATGTTTGCAGACCTTCTGCGAGTGAAGCCCCAGGGAGAGGCTGTCTGCTGGTCCCCTGCCACGGTGTTGGCAACCCACTCATTCACAGTTGTGGTGCCGTGATGGGAAACCAAGGTTTGACAGCTGGGTGACAGGTTAATGGCAACCTGTAAGACTATTGTCCCTACTAATTATCCAGTTATGGATTTTTATTAATCCAGTCATGCAGCAGGCAATCAAGGCACTGCTCTCTCCCACTATCACTAGAGAAGGGAGTCTGAACCAGGGAAGTGCAGCTCTAACAAAAGACCTGCTGAGCTCTGTGTCGTGCTTTCCCTCCATTAGCTCCTAATTTGGGAAAGGAAGCCTCATAGCCTGTCACAGAATAAAAAAATTATAGCAAGGAATCATCATCTCATTTACCTTAATAGTGCTAGTAGAAGTAGGGCTAACAGTTCATGACACAACCTTTGGGATTTGCCAAAGATCCTTAAACTCAACAGTCTGCGTGCCCAGCCATAGTTTTGTGAATTCATACTCCTTAAGGTGAGATATGTAGGGATACAATGGGAAATTGTTATGCAGTATGGAGTTTGGCTTCCTAGGTGATAGGAGTATCCTCAAAAAGAGGATCTGGCACATCTAGTTTAGTAGACCTTCCATTATGCTGAAAAAGTTCCTAATTTAGACGATTACTCACATTTAGTGAGATGGTGTGATTAACTCTGTTTCTGTATAATATGCTGCTGATTTCTTACAGTAAATGTCCCCAAATTTGTGTGTAAGGTTTTCCCTGGTGTGGAGCTTTGCTTGAAAGGTGGGTCAGAAGCTATGCATAAATATGGAAAAAACAGCATTTGTTTTTCAGCAATATGATTATCTAAAGAATATAATTGTATGCAAATGATATAATATATTCTCTTGGGTTTGGAATTCCAGGGCTGCACAGCCTTAAAGCTGAAGGATACAATATCATGTCATTATTAGTAGTAGATGCAAAATACAGCCAGATGTCTTCAGTATTAAGATGATCAATAATAGGTGTATTGCAATTCTGCTTCTGTTAAGATGGTTTTTTTATGGTAGCTCATTTAAATC